AAAAAGATAAACAACACAACAGTGGCCAATGTGTAAATCCCACCAGCACTCTCCATCTTTGCATAGAGATGCACCTAAGCCTACACTTCTTAAGGCCAAAGCTCATAAAAGGTGACAATTTATCACAAGTCCCCGAATCCCCCCCTCTGCAGTGTGAGGAATATACATTGCCTAATTACCATAAACGACAGCAAATTTCCTGCATCCTCAAAGTGAGGGCTGACAGCGCTGCAGCCTGAAGTGCACAGAGGCACTCTGTGCTGCTGGCAGCGCCTCCGGATGGGATCCAGCTTAGTTGGTGGCATCTCAAGGCTTTGCCTGCAGTCTGTCCTGGGCAAGGGGAGTGGGGAGCAGAGCTGCTCCCTCACCCCCAGCTCTGTGTGAGATATAATACCCTATAAAGTATGATGCGATCCCTGCAGGTTGATGGGGTCCCACACCACCCTGTGCCAGAAGAATGCTCCAGCACATCCATGCTAGGAGGCAGTGCAGAGGAACCTGCCACTCCGGGGCATGGTCTTGCTCTCCCAGCACCCACCGGCTGGATGGGGATAGGATGAATCTCTCATGTCTGGGGTTGTACATGAGAGCCCTCCCAAGGGCTGCGGCAGTGCCGGGAGAGGGAGGACAGCGGGGAGAGACCTCCCCGGGTGGTGGCGGGAGCTGGATCTGGCCCAAGCGCGAGGGCGCATCGTCTCCAAGATACAGTGGCGTGGGGTAGCTTTTCCCAAACAAAGAGCATTATAAGGGAGCCACTGCTGGAAATTTCCATTCCTTTGTTGGGTAGATGCTGTGTAAATAAATGCATTCCTCAGATTTTTCATAATCCTGGAAAGGTCTGTAAAAGAAACTATAGAGTTTGTCAAATTGCTGGAGTTCATATATATTATTCCTCAGCCACTGGGAACATGATATAAAATGGCACAGAATATAATGCGAGAAACATATGCTAAAGGCCTTTTCAGAAGCACTCTGTGCATTCAAATGTGGCACATAGAGATATACAGATATTTCTTCTGTTTTGTCCCATGGGATTTAAAATATTCAACCCATATTACAGCTTGGGTTTGGGAATTAATTACCTTGGCTTTAAATAATCCTTACCTGACAGGTGACTTGGGAGGCATTTAGCTATTCCCTGGTTTATTGTGTGGGTGCTTTGAAAGCATTTATAAATTAGTACGTGAGATAAATGTGTAAGCAACCTTTTACTTTATTCTTCTGATTTTCTTTCCATTTGAATTTTATTTAAAACCCAGATGATTCAGGAAGATCCTGAATGATATTCTGCCTGGTGTATTTACAAGTCAAATGACACAAAAATGCAGTTTCAATGTCTTACTTTCCTGTCATCTATAAACACTAACTACATATAGAAGAGATTCTATTTCTGTAACCAGTGCATTGGTAATGTAAATGCAGGAGTTACTTACATAGAAAAGACTACTGTACCTTCATTGAGACAAGTCAGATCTTTTTCTTGAAATAAGCTGATAACTTCTCCTACTAACTCTGCTCCCCTGGACTCAGTTAAGCTGGATTTACAAGATCACTCCCCTGTTTAATGTCGTACAAATACTTCAGAAATTTAGAACATAATCTGTCCCTTTGACTCCCAGAACAATGTTTATTACCTTTCTTTTTTGTTTTTGAACACACTCTGACATTTTTATCTTATACTTAGACTTTTCCGACAGCTACTCTCGCTTTCTTTAGGATTAATTTTTAAACTTTGAAAAACATATTCTCTAGTAATGCAATTCTACTGGAAAAATATTGAAATTATACAGAAATAATACTTTTTAAGCATTTTTCATTTTTAGATCTCAAAGTTCTAGACAAAAGAGAGCACTTAATAAATAGTTATCTAAAACATAAAATGTAATTTCTCAACATTTGTCTTCTAATTGTCCAAAATACACTGTTACCATTTATTTCCTAGATATCCTATTTTTCAGCTAGATTAGAAATGTAAAAAAAAAACCAACCCAACCCCACAACCAAAACAACCTAGAAGTCAAACCAAAACAACCCCTCAAACAGGACTATCTCTGTAAGGTAAGCCCAAATACTTTTGGCTGGCTATTAGCGCTCTAATTTCCTTCTGGTTGGACACTGCTGCAGCATCTCCAATTCTGCAGTGCTCATCCGAGATCCTAATTTTTCCTGACCTCAGTACTCATATTTGGGGACTCCTGTGTCAAAGCATTTCAGCCTCCAGGATGAAGTAGCCTGGTTCAGCCTTTTTCAAAGAAAGATTATTATGGCAATCTCAAACTGGAATAAATTAGAAAAGTTTATTACTGTATTTTAATAAAAAGTACTGTTGATTAAAAGCATCAAACTTGAAACTCAATTAATAACAAACTATGATCCCAGAGACTGCAGACCAGTAACTTATCTACCACACAAACAGCTGCACAAATCCCTCACATTTATTTTTTCCAGGCTTTCAACTTTGATTAATAACATGGCAAAACCATGCAAGTCTCAACCATATTAACTACAGCTATATTTTTAGTCTTACTGACACGAACACTTTAATATAATAAAAGGAGAAGGAAAACAGAAGAGGTGTTTCATTAGGACATGAGGATTACTAAAACCACTGTGTGGAGTATTTGTCAGGAGGTGGTAGGGGAAGACTTATTACTTACATTTTAGCATGTCTCTAGGACACGGAGCAAGAGGCTCCCTCAGTGAGATATGTTTGCTTTGGATAAAAAATGAAGTAATTGGACTGACCAAGCTTCTCTTACTGACACATTTTATAATACCAAATTGCAGACTTGTTTAAGAAGTGTGCAGCACTATACAGAAAACTATTTTTCCACTTTTGTTATGAAGCCCATCAGTACTGCAGTGATACAAGATCCAGAAGTTCACATATTAGCCTGCTAGTCCTTTTTTATTGATAGATGGCTATGTGCAAAAATATATGAAGCATGCAAATTGGTTAAAAAATAGTCCAAACCACAAACCCTCAGCAAATCTGTTCTTGCAGCTGATTATAGAAGCTTATAAACTATTTTAAAAGCATTTATTAAAAAAAACAAACCAGCATCCCCAAAACCCAAACACCTGCCCCCCCGAAAGGCTGATATAAGCAAGAAACCACCTTAATGTTAGTAAAATAACAGCCTCAAAACAAATCCAAAGACTAATGCTTGCTTAATACAGAATTCTTCAATATTAAACAAGTCTGGCTTCATTATTGTGTGACAGTGGGACTATAGTTAAATTTAGTGCAGTCACCTCGTGGATTGTTCATATGACAGGGGTATTTCTTAGATGAGTTTCTGACACTAAATTCAGCTGAATGAATAGTATTATACACATCATAAACATAAACAATACTTGGCTGAGTATGTCGTCTGACTTTTTTCTTTCAGTATCTACCTGCCTACACATTTGCACCAGCAGTATGTTTATAGCGATGCCTTTTGTAAGAGAGCCAAGCTCTGCAAATTGAGATAATGGGCAAAAGCAGTCATACATTTTCTATTTCTAAGTGATTTGTGTGAAGACAGCTATATTTCAAAACTGAGGGAATAGAACAAATACAGGCATATATCATAATAATAGTGACCATGAAATAACTGCTCAGGGCAGCACCCAAATATTGTAGTCATGGAGGTATCAGAAACACCTAGGTACCACGGATGGGATGTGATAGCCTGGCAAAGAGAAGGGCAGAGCAATAGCAAATACTTTGTCACACTTTTACCCTGAGATGAAAGCATTATTTCTGCTTTGACCTTTTTAGAATTTCTAATGCACAACATCTGTTGTATCAGAAATGCAGGGGGACAGGGCAGGCACACACTCCAATCCATTTCTACACACCAGAAAACAAAGAAATGTACAGAAAACCTTCGCACCGCACTGGAGAAGGTGAGACCCTATAGTCTTATATGTCAGACTGTGAGACCCTATGCACAGTCTTATATGTGAACTTCATCACTGAAGAGATTTGTCTCCCACTCGAATGCCACACAAGCGCATGCAAACCGATCCCGTTCATCTGTGCTCCCCGTTCTGACATCGGGGCTTTGCTTTTTAACTAGCCTGGGCTTGGCTGCAACTAAGATAAACATATTTAGCTGCAACTTTTTTTTTTCTTTCAAAAAGAGGCAAACTGGATTATAGCAAATAACCTTTAAGATAATTAACTGACAATGCTGCAACTAGCATAAAATCTTCCTTCAGGCGACTCCTAATTTAAGTATTACTGGCACAAAGTGGAGACAGATTGTGCATCACCACCGCAATATTTACATAGCAGAAACCCACAGAGCAGGAAACGTGAGACTCAATGATGCACTAAATTAGGAACAATCATATTCTAGTGTTAATTTGCTTTCTCCTCTATCCAGATTTCAGGTCCAGCAATTGGTACAAATGCACATAAAACATTCCCATTTTTAATGATTAAGAACCACAATCTGCAAAGCAGTTCTGCTCAAAAATAAATTCACTCACTACTAGTGATGTCTGCAGGATCAAACCCCCAAAAGTGAAACAGTTTTACCAGCACAGAGATTTCTTCCGAAAACCAAGACTTCCTAATCTGTTTATTTCTGTACATAAATGATGTCTGTACATGGAGTTTGAGTCGTCTGCCAGGCTACCTGCTTTTTGATTGCAAATATTTTCCTATGACAGTAACACCATGATTCTGCGGCATGATGGAGAAGCAGTTTTAATTCACCGAGGCTGTAGATACATGCAGGTGCTCAAAAGGCTGTGTAATCAAAGAATTAAAGTTAAAACGGGAGGTGGGAGAAAAAGATAGCTGGTCAATTTGTAAACATATTGGGCAGTGGCACATTTATAATAAATATACACTTTACAGTTTATCCAGACACAGATTTCACTAGCACTACTCTCAGTTACAGCACACTTCATAAGATAAATGCAAAAAGCCATCATCAATCTTTCTAAATCTTAAATATTATTCAAATTTGGTTTCGACTATGGCATATTAACAAAAGATTTACCTTGCCTAATCGCTGATGTTCTTCAAAAGCAGAAATCAGTTCTTGCGCCCACTTTATTTTTTCAGGGCTCGGAGAGAACTGTTCCTGGACAACAGCAATTTGGTTGGGGTGAATCACCTGCTTACCTACAAAGAAGATTAATAACACCAGAATCATGCATCGACAAACAGATGTTCAAGCAAAATGTTCCAACCACTTGAGGCTCTCATATGCCTTGCAGACTTTCTTGCTCTTTTAACTAATTATTTTACTTGGTTTCTTCTATTTTTTAAACTGGACAACAAGCAGGTAGCCTTTTGCCAGATTTCTTTTAAAGAATAAAAAATATCTTAGGCTACACTTGCATTCAATATAATTTGAAAGAAGGCACGATTCTTTCTCCTCCCTCCCCATTCCAATTCATAGATCTTCTCTCAGTCATTTCAGGTGCAATTGCTTGTCTGGGGCAGTCAATAACACTTAAGTATAATGCATTGCTGAATTTAACTATATAAATAACAGCTTCAGCCACTCTTAAGAAAGTTATATTAAAATGCATTCAGAAAATGATCTGAAGAAGACGGCAAGAGATTTGTAGGACTGAAAAGTTACCAGTCACCTAAAGATCATGCTCTAAATTCTTGGCTTAGCCTAATAAAATCCTCAATGTTGTTAAAACTGTTGCAGTAGTTAGCAGTTGCAGGTACACAGCAATATTTGTTTAGTCACTGGTATATTAAACAGCTACCAGTGGTCCCCTGAAGTTTTATGAAGCACTTTTTTTTAATCCTTTCTTGTATAAACATATGTCAAGAAAATAAAAATAGATGTTGCCTTTTTTTTTACTAGAGATCTTCAAACGTGAATAGACAGCCACATAATCTGTTTTAATCTGTTACTGTATTTAGCTACCTTAAAACAAAGACATATCTAATTTGTTTGACAGTTTAAAAAGTGTCCCATTTGACATTATTAGTTGATTTCTAAGGGAATTTCACAGATCGGTGTGATTTCTGCACTTTGATTTCAAAGTGTTTTCACTAAAGGGAGGCTGCCGTAATTCCCTGTTTCCCCGCAGAATAAATGACCCTCCTCTGTGCCAGATAACAAAACCTTGGAGTTTTGGGAGGGGTGAGCCTGATCCTGCCAACCTGCCATCGAGCAAGCAGCCTCCTGCAGACGCAGGGTCCCGCAGCCGCAGCCTCTCGCGGGGGCGAGGTTTTTGCACACAAGGCAAAGTTTGGAGCGTCAGGACCCACCGGGGTCTGCTCCCATCTTCTCGCTGACGCGAAGCCAGCCGTACGTTAGAAATGTAATGAGCAAAGAAGCAGTAACCTTTTAGTGCTGCTACATTTCTTTGCTAAAAAGCCACAAGTAACTGAATTTTATTGTATTTCCCATCAAGTATCCTTTAGTTTATGATCTTAAGGGCATCCAAATATTCAGTTTGAAATTTCAATACGATAACTATTTAAAAAAAAAAGCTTAAAAATAATAAAAGGTTTGAAACACAGTAAGAACCATATTTTTGGAAGGAAATTACATGAGGACAAATTTCTTTAACCAGTCATTTTTACAGGAGATCTAATCAAAGTTTTTTTAGTCAATTTAATCAAATGTCACAATTAATAAGATTATGATGTTCCTTATTTGTAATACAACAAATTCTCCTTAACGGAACTTCTAATTCTAAAACGGAAGGGTGTACAAATAATTCCTGCAATATCCTAAGGCGCTTAACTTTCTGTGAAAATTGCAGAATATATTTTAAACTACACTTAAAGTCAGTCTATAATAATAATGAAAATAAAAATAATTATACATGATTTTCTTTAAAGTGTAAAACATTTTTGAAAAAATATTTGCTTTTGATAAAGATACCTGTAGCAGTAAGTTATACTTTTTCATCGTTAAAACACTACTGAACAATTTAAAGAGAGTAAAATCTAACTTCTGATTTATAGCACTCAGTTGATTTTTGTCACAGATTATGTATCCAAATAACCGGCTAACAGATGTAATGCCATGCAGGAATGAAGCAAATATTTTAAACAGAATTGTTGTTATTGACAAGTTACTGAGAGAGTGCAAAATTGGAAGACATTAAAATTTATGACCATGAAATCCTTTTTACAGTACCACTTGATATATCGTGCTTTAAATCAATACCTGTCAAGTCTTTTAGGTAACTGTATGATGGTGTCATTTTAGTCTCCTACAAAAGACTGCAAAAAGAGAGGAAACCTATAGTGTTTCGTATTTATATCTGCCTTCTCAGCATGTAGCACAGGACTTTCTTTAATGACTAAGTCAGCTGTTAAAGCTTATGGCAAAGTTTACTTAATTTTTACATAAACATTCCTAAAACTGACGACTATTTATATAGGCAACATACTGACTTTAAATCCACAGGTTCTGGTATTGTAAACCACCTTGTTGGGGGTGTGTGCATGCACACACACAAACACATTAAAATATATAAAATATATAAATATACATATAAAATCTGTTAATTTGGCTAAATTACATTTGAAAACATTTGATTTTATATCAACACACTCACTGAAGGAAAAACAGGCTACTTTTAAGACAACTGGAAAAGAAAAATTAGCTACAATAAGCAACAAGGGTTACAATAGTAAATAGCTGGTAAATTCTTCATGATATTATTTTGCTTGTTTAATCTTGAGTGAACATACTTGATACCATTAAGCCAAATTCTACCGGTTTAAATCTGAATATGGGAAAATCTAAGGACATATAACTTTGCTTAATATTTTGGATTTGCATTAGTTTTTTTGTGAATTTGGCCCTGTGCATGCAAATATGTGTGTGCTTCACCAGCTAAGAGAGCAATTTGGAAGTCTCAGCTCATTTTAGTCCTGTTGATTTCAACGATTTTGATTATTTGTGAAAAAGTAGCAGGAAGGGATCTTAAAAATTTAAAAATAACAAGAATGGCATGTTTTGAACCTGTTATTAAGGTGACATATCAGTATTTTATTCTCACGTTGTCAGAGGGCTGTCAGTGGTGAATACTATCTGCAGACTTCTGCTTTATACAAGGTCATGGACTAAGCTAAGATCTATTCGTAGTTTTCTGTGATGAATATTAAATCGGAAATTTTAAAATGTTCCATTTATTTAGTTTTGGAACAAAATATTTTTGCTTTCCATTTCGAAATGGCATTTTATTTTAATCAAAACAAGCAAAAAAGATTCTAAAAATCATAGATTTCAAGCAAAGGAAATAAAATAAAAAGTTAAACATTTTGGGTCAACCTCATTTTTTTTAACCAAAAATATGAAAAACACTGTTTTGTTTTGACTTGAACTGATTTTTTTCAATGTCTTTTTTTTTTTTTGTTTGCCTTTTGGCCACAGAAATTAGAAAAGTCAGTACTGATCCATCTGTAATTATGGTTGGGTGGTTGTCAGGCTATTTGCTGGATTTTGGAAATACATCGATGATAGTTGCGGAAAGGCGGGAGGCAAAAAGCGGGAGCTGTGAGTTCAACTTAATGAAGTCTGTGGCAGAATTAGAAATTCACTTTATGCCCTAAATTACTATGCATAACCTTTTATTTGTCTCCTATCTGGTCCCTATCCTGATGTCAGAAAACTTCCATGGTAAGTGTAAGTCAGTGGAGTGCAAACCACCATCCATGTTGTTTATGCTGTGCATTTCTAAATTTCCTAAATTGGCAGCTCAAGTTAAGTATTTAAATACACATTAAGCTTTTAAAGAGTGCTCTCAAAGGTCATCTTCTGTCAACAGGAGGTTCAGATGCTTAAGTTTTTTCAAAAATCAAGCCTTTCCTTACTAGGAAATATTGGTGGACATTAGGTAGCTATCAGCAGGTGCCACCATTCAGGACCTCTATTATTTTCCCAACTTCAGTTGCAGACGAATGAAGGGTGGAAGTTCACGTGGAGGTAGATGAGGTAGCTCCGAAGAGCAAAACCATTTTGCTTCTGAAAAAAGAACTGGTTTTACAAATGCAGAAGCTCAACAGACAGTAAGGAAGATTTTGGGCTGAAGAGCATCAATGGCAATTCTTTCACTGGCACACTGAGATCACTTAAAAGAACGTTTGCTTTATTAGATTATTTTGCCTGGTGCTTTAAGATATCATATACTGCTAACTGTAAAAATACAGCTTGTTAGATGACATCACCAGGACCCATGTCTTTGGTAACAAAATCCTAAGAGAGCTACTGTTACCATATGTATATCCTGAATGATTGTCAGAGACAACGTAAAATGTTTGTCCTGTATGCTAGGATTCTGAAATGCATGTACGAAATGGCTGATTTCTATTGCAAAATTCCAATCTTTGGTGGCTGCACCGTCCCACCAGGGTGTCCAAGTGATCTGGTACACCAATCGCAGAGTAACAGGCTGCCTTACAGGACTCTGGGGCAAGGAGTCTGCTGCTCTTGCAGGCTGCCAATACCCATAGGTGTCACCAGCACTTACTGGGAGGGGAGCCAGGCAATGAGAAACAAATCAAAGAAAAGAATAAGAAAATAACTTTCCCCTGGGAAGCAGCATATGAGGTTTGCTTCTCAACTTCTTCACCTAAAAAGTACTTTTAAACAACTGTCATTAAAAAAACATAGGAGAAAGGGAACCACATATTTTCAGAAGCAATTGTAGAGTGGCTGTCGCAGAGTACAGCATCGCCTTTCCCATGCTCTGTGATGGGAGGAATCACTGCACAGCCTCCACCCCAACTTCTCTTCAAAAACACTCACACGCTTCATGGGATGTGGCTTTAAAAAGCAGCCTGTGATGTTTCAGGCAAAATTTCCAGTCCCAATTTTAAAGGTGCTAATAAACACAGAACCACTTGGTATTACTGAGTTTTTCAATAAATGACCTGAAATTAAAATCAAGTAATTTGTCTAAGTGACAGTAAATGTAGCGATATATTTAAACTGGAGAAGCTATGCATTATTTTGAGACACCGGCAGAAAGGCATACCAGTGAATCCCATTGCGGCACCTTCTCTTGATTGCCTGCGGAGCCCATCTTCATCTTGGAAATCGATGTAAACAAGGTCTATTGCTTGAAGGCCAAATGCCTTTGCTGTGACTATTATTTTTTGTCTGGCATATAGAATGTCGTGAGTTTCCTTACTGCTTGTTGCACCTACAGAAACAATGAAAACAAAGAAAAGCTGACAGGAGTGTTTGAAACCTTTCTATTTAAAATATTTTCTATGTAAAAATTGGGAAGTTTTAGATTTCATTTAACCAATGTAGAAAACAAAAGAGAGGTGTATGGCTATATTGTAAAAATATTACTCTCATGAGGGAAAAAAAAAGCTGCTTTAGCAAAAAAAAAATTGTCTCTTTAAACACTAGCTTATAAAATTCAGATTTTGATTCAGTTCAAATCAGAAGTTGTAAGCCTGAAGTGGAAGTTTTGGCTGGTAAAGACTGAGGAGTTGGGACTAACATGAAGTAATTATTTGATTATATAATTTATTGTACATACAGTGAGAAGCTTTACAGCAAGAGAAGCTTTAAACAACTTGATATACTGGTAACTAACTGGTTAACTAACTAAATGGTTAAAAAATTCACACTGAGAACAGAATTGCACTTTCCTTGGTTGTGATTCTTGTCACAACTGATGTCCTATGCTGAATATTTCAGCTTTAGTATTTGGATAAAAAATAATGGTAGATGACTTCTAAGAAGAAGGAAAAGTATTCACGAGACTTCATGTGCTCACAGGGCACCAGCTAAGCAACGTGCTTATGTGAAGGCTGCTGTTAAAAAATAATAATAATAATATGTTCCCTTTCCTTAGGGTCACTGTTTAGAGACAGATTTCCAATTTGTAAGGAATATTTCAGTAAAGTAATGCTAATTTTCACATTAACGTACATATTCTTAATATAAATGTTGATAGCTCTGAACTATTATCTTTAAACTCAATAAGACTAAGAAGAAGCTAAGCAGCCTCTCATAAAAGAAATTTTTAAATACTTCTTATTTTTGAGGAAGACTAATAGTCCTTTCACATGAATATGTGGCTGTATTGACATGGAACATATTTAAAGTAAATTTATGAAAGCAAAATGTAGCAGGAGAGTATTTGCGCATGATGTCAAAAGCCTGACAGATAATTATTTGTAAAACTGTGATTAAGCAGACACTGAAATTTTAGGACTTTAAACGTAATTCTTAAAAGTATGTGCATGTTTCTTATGGATATAACATTTTAAAATAATTTCAAGTGATTCAACAGATTTTGGATTTTTTTTTTATTAATTTTTGGTACTGTGTGGCAAGAAGCACAAGAAAGTGTCAGTGCCCTGTAACACACAGGGACCACATTCTAACTTCCCAGTGATACATTCTGCACTGAAAAAAACTAAGGAGAAATGTGAAAATGTAAAATGCAGAATCAAGTGTTGTCATTACTTTAATTATTGCTGTCGGAAAAGCAATGGCCATAAATCACATTGGGCTTCTCCAATGCAAATGCCATACGGTAACATCTACAGTAAACAGACAGGTAACAACCTATGCTGGCACGGAAATCCTCTCCTCCAAAGACGACTGCATCCAAATGAAAGCCAACCTGGGAGCCTCTTCTCAGCGCTTCTTCACAGACAGCCTTCGAATAAGAACAGAGTATTAATTTCTACAGAAAGGCAGGACGCAGAGACACTAAGAGGATATCACAGCACAACAGTGTTACCAGACTCCTTCAACTAAAATTGCTCCTATTAAGCAAAGCCATTGTAGGTGCTAGACTATGCTCAGTGCCTTAAAATGAGTAGGTAAAAGAGAAAACATTATCTTTCCCT